TTAACGTTCGTAAATCTTATAGCACATTGGAAAATACATTGTTGAATAAAATATCGTAAGAATGTACTTGACAACAAAGTGGACTTATGATATTCAATAGTCGTGTCAAAAAAACGTTGTATAATTATAAACACCACATAATTATAAAAGTGTTAATTTATTTAATAAGATCACAATTGTAGTACAAATATTTTAGAATCGAGACATATAATCCACATATTAATATAAAATGACAATTAATTTCGTTTTATGTAGATATCAGGTTACTTGGATGTAATTTCTGCTTGTCGGAAAGGTGGAAAAAGTATTTTTGAGACAGCTTGCACGTCGTACGCACGTAACCTGGTAATGTTATATGAAACCATTTGCGAACACGCGTATGCAACCGTCGTATCGCGCAAAAGGGTTAAACAAACGAAGCCTGAAAAAGGAGGCAGCGAGAAGTAACCGGAATAACTGCGAAAACATTTTTCCGTTCCCCTCTGTGTGGAAGCATTCGGCGCTAACGAGCCAACCGTTCCGTACGGTTCGTCGCAAAAAGCCTCTTAAGGTTGACAAATTTCAATTACGCGCGCGGCTCGTCGTCGCTGTGCAAGCGCGCGCACCGCGCCGATTTATCTCGAGGCGTGCGCGCGCGCGCCGGTTCCAACGAAACCTGTCGTCAGCGAATTCCTCAGCGTGGAACAAAGAGAATAAGCTGAACCGAGATCTGTTACGCGAGAGCAACCGGTGCATAACCGAGAAGTAAAAGCGTCAAAGGGGTTCTACCAACGATGTCTTCCCGTGCACGAGAAACCATCACCGAATTCCCGTTTGTTTCAAACGAACCGCGCCATTTTTAATAATCCAGGATGGAACAAATGTGCACGGCTGATGAATACGTGTACGTAATGATATCATGCGTAATGCTAGAGTATAACGCGTTTTGAAAGAACTATTTGATATAATTCAGTGCCCTCAGTTTTGAAGCTTGGTAAGAATTAGGCTTTCAGATTTCATCCACTTATAGAATAGTTGAATATGCAGAACATACAGTATATACGTCTAAGAAGAACCTGATATAAATTTTTATTTGTATAGCTTTAATCAAATTTTTATGTCATTCCTAAACTATTGGAAATATAAAACAAGATTATGAGAGAATAACTCAAATTTTGATTATGTACATGTACGTACATAATATTCTAGATAAAAGTATAGTGCAATATGATATATTATAGTACGGTTGGCAACCCTATGGCCGGGTGACAAATCATGAGGAGAGAAAAAGCAGGGAGAAGGTGGAAAGAAAACAGGAGAGAGAAAGGATAGAGGGAGACAGTGATCTCGCAAATCAGTAGGAAGACGACATCGACCTCTCCCCCTCTCTCCTCTCGTTTTCCTCTCTTTCCACCCGCGGAATCCTTTCTTCTGTGTGCGCATTGTGCAGATAATGCCATGCCGGGTTCCTCCACCGTGGGCGAAAACGAGCCAGCGGATACCGCGAAAGTGTAGGAACAAAAAAAGGGAAGCACGATCGGTATTCTCCACTCCCGTTTTCCTTCCATCTTCGTCGCCTCCCTCTTCTTTCGTATTTTCGAAAATAGTCTAATCTAAAAATATGCCCGGCTGATGGCGAGAACACTCTTCCGTCCAACGGTTTAATGATTATAAAAATCTTTTTCGATGCGCGGTAGATTACCGGGTTATTGGCATCTGGGAACTTTTAATAACTCGGGGTTAATTAAATTTACTGGAAGATCGTCTCACTCGCGGTGAACAGAACTATAAAATATTAATTCCCCGTTACGGCATGGAAAAATCTCGAGAATGCAATGAAGCATGATTAGTACATAAATAGATTTATTTGATTAAATAAAAT